TATTGACCTTGGTAAATCCTCGCTGTTTAGGCTAACGGCAATTCGGCGCCACAAAATGTCACAGCGCTACTCTGCACTCACTCATGAAGAAAATGTGCACATGGTTAGTTAGCGGGAAGACGGACAACAAACTCTGTCAGTCACCTTGAACCGCAAACATACACGTTCACGGCTGAGCACCTTGAACAACAACAGATAACTTGTAAAGTACAGCCTCTGACTACGGAAACATTACACACTATCTTGATCACCATGGCCGGTGTGGGTGTTTTTGGCAGTCTTAGGCCAACTACCCACACCCAATGTAGCGATGGACTGCATAAAACAAAAGCTGTGGCATTCAAAGCTGTATCATCTAGTAGAGAGTGGGAGAGCAAGAGAAAAGAGGAGGGAACAGACTCACTACTGTGAATTGCCCTTTCCGGTTAGTCACAAGTGACACAGGACTAACGAAGCCTCCGTTGGTGTTCTCCTGTCCCTCTTAGCGGTGACAGATGTTAGGAGAACATAGTCAGATAAAGCTCTCTGCATTAGCTTGGAGAGAAAAAAAATGGGGGGTGGCCTTAACTTGGAATAAAAACACCATAGTTATTCCACGGTTAGACAGTTTCCTGCCACAAAGTATATAGGAATCTAAGCATCTCCTAGCAAATATTAAAAAATATCACAAGCTTTTGCTGGAGCACTTTAAATTGGCATGTACCAATGCACTTTTTGTGGATGCTTCCGAGACACCTCCTCTACCTAGAACCATCTAAGCTCTCGCGTCCAGAGAAGAAGTTTGAGGCACACAATGGGGGCACATCTCTACACTAATGTATGTTCCCTTGTCTTTGGCAGATAGCAGACTGCTTTAGCTTTAACCAGCCTCCCTGGGCCACCAGCATACAGCTTAATGCGATAATACGGCCGCCCGGTGAAGCATTAGGCCTTCTGCACCCCAGCAAACAAAGGACCCCCTCTTTGCAAGCAGGGTCTGTCCCCTCCCCAGTGTCCATAGGTGTTTGCTGAAGTAAATCGGCCTAAATCCTGCACAGCTTGGCCCAGCTGAAAGGGGAGGGGACTTGAATGAAGGTGTACAGATAATCTCCTTTTCTTACAAACAAAAAAAAGTCGAGGGGGGAGGGAGCGAAACAGATAAAATTAAGAATTCATATCACATGGTGCATTTGAGTATTCTTACGTTCCCTCTCTCTCTCTCGGTATGCCTGTGGATTTGCATTTGTGATCCCTGACCTATTGAGGTACAGGGGGAAAAGCGAATGAAAGACTAACACAATAATGGATGTCTTGTCTGTCAGTGAAAAGGCACAGGCGTTTGGCCCCTGACTGGATGTTTTGTCTCACTTTTGTGAAAGCGATGGACTGCTAGAAAGTGTCGGTCCTGAGAGTGGCATCTGTCCCGCCACCCATACAAATCCACGGATCTCTAAAGACCAACATCTCGTTTCTCTTATCTCTATATCTGGGTCGTTGGCTTATCTTGAATATGGCAGATGTATGGCAACTTTAGGGGTGGGGGAAACAAAATATAACCAACGGAAACTAGTCAAAATGAGCGAGCTAAAACTGAGCGTGTGATTTTGCTACAAAGTGACAACATAAACAACTAACACCTAACGTCTGTCGCAGCACTTTAAAAATGGATTCTGCATGGTCTCAAGCACTTGTGATATTTCTTTTGAGTCAGTAAAACAATCTGTTGCTAACCCCTCCATTCAACTGGCCCCCAGCTCCTCTCCAATATATACACACTAACTAACTTGTTTTCTCTCACTCAATTCTTACTAACCTTATCAGTGTCTCTCTTTTTTATTTTTTTATTTTTTGTCTCTCAAAGTCCCTCCCTATTTTCTCTCTCTCGTCTGCTATTTGGTCGTTAATATTTCCAGACTGGCATCCAGTAATATTATCTAGCCATTAGTGAGGACCCCATCTCTCAGCTGGGGCAGTTGACCAGCGTGGGTAGCGTAACCAAGGAAGTTTAACAATCGCAAAGAGGCAACAAAGTTATGTCACTCTACCTCTATACCTCTAGCTCTAGATCATAATTTCCACCTTTTTTCTCCTCACTTGGTCGCTCTTGCTCTCCCTTTCTCCTTTCTCTCTTGCACTCTTTTCATCTCTGGCTTTGGGATGCTGAAAGCGAGAGAGTGGCCTGGCAGCAGTGAAAGGGCTGAATTGTGATTAAGAAGGAGGAGAGGAGCTCCTTTTCTTTGTTCTGCCCTCGGGGGTGTTTACTGAGGGGGTGTGTGGTGGAGGAGGGAGAGAGGGAGTGAGGGAGGGAAAACATAGAGAGAGAGAGAGATAGAGAGACAGAGAGAAGGAAAGGGGGTTGCTGAAACATGGCATAGCAGATATGAAAGGCATTCAGGTCAGCACAGATGATGGTACTGCTGGAGAGCTACTTGAGATTGATGTGTACATGTGTTTTAGAGAGTGAGGCCTCTATTTGTAAATGTGTGAATAATTAATTGTGAGAATGTATTAATTCTTTTTTTTTTTCTTCTTTTTTTTGGAAAAGACGTATTTAGTAGGAAGTGGTTAAAGAAGGAGGGTGAAAGGTACCTGCCGCAGCTGCATTCACAATGGCCCGGTTGTGCGCTATACGTGCCAAAGACAGTACACTAGACACCCTGGTACTGCTGATTATAAGAGCATGCCAATGAGATGCCCCAATGACAAGCCATTGTCTTGGCGCTTTGTCTCAGTGAACCTGCTAGCCTCTTTATGCCATCCAAACAAATATTACACAATGTTCCTTTCATAGAAACAAGTGATTTAATCTGTTAACTGCTGTGACTCAATGCAGTGACTTCTCACAAAGGCTTCTGATCATTTGTATTAGTAGCTCTAGCATCGGTTTCTTAACAAGTCAAAAAACAAGAATGAATCACAAATAAATGTTAAAGTGAGAGCTATAGTACACATCATAGAAAAAGTATGCCTAATAACAGGAAAAACCTGAGAAAAATTAAAAACCAATGCAGCTGAGCATCACAACAAGCTTACAGCGATCTGTCATTAAAGAGAAATCGACACACAACAACAGAACCATGACAATCTCTAGAATGCTGCAACTTTATAGTCTTGTGCCTCTGACAGTTTTGTCAAGCTGGCCCTCACAGCTGGATGTGACGTGCTGTGAAAAAAAGGGGGAGGTTGGGGGTGTGGGAGGGTAAATGACAACCACAACACAACTGCAGCCAGAGAGTGGATCAAGTTTCACATAGGGCCTAATGTGACCTCCCATTGGGCCCTCGAAACAGCGGGGTGGGGCCGCGCTGTGAGAGAAGAGGACCTGAACTACAAACTATAAAAAAATACATTTGGATTCATTATTTAACGAATCTGTCATTTCAGTATTCAGGACTTTACTTAATTAAATTAGGTAAAATGTGTATTTTTTTTTTTATAATTACTTTACTGCGTTAATGAGTCAATAAAGTAAACAAACGAATTTATACATTCTGTAATAAATTGTAATGGATCATTTAAAATAATAATAATAAAGTCTGCTGAATAATTTTACGTAATTGAATGTAGACTTAAAAGCGCAGTTTTTCAACTGATAAGTATACAACTGGTCAATATCATTAATATGTGTGTTTTACTTCTATTCTTTTTAATATAACGGCCTGTTAAGACGATTCAAAACATTTTACTCAACTCACGTCCCATATAAGACTCGTTTCAAAGTCATCGCTCGGTATGTATTATTTATCTAATCCTCTACTTTTTCTCCTCAAACATTTTCTGTCATTAAAATGAAGATAGTGTCTCCAAAAGTTAAATAAGTGAGCAATAATGTATTCCCCTAGCAAATGTGTTCAAACAACAGCTGAAAATAATCATAAACTCAACATGACGCTTTTCTGTTTCAATCCGAGATCAAAAGAATTTCCGATTGACCGCTTCATTCATTTTTGCCCCTATTCAAAAATAAGTTTCAACCCATCGACTTTATTTAGAGTCATACACTCCGCGACACGCTGCATTGATTTTTATAAAATCAATAGATCGCATTTAATAAAGTATCGAGGTCAAACATAGCTAACAGAGTCCGGGAAAATGTGTAAATGCTACTCCAAAAATAACCAAAGCAATATTTGCATGCATTTACAAAAATAAATAAATAAATAAAAATACAGATTGAACAACATAATTAGAAGTGTTTTAAAAATCTTACGCGCTGTTCCGATTAAAATTAATCTTTTCCTCTTACAAAAAAAAAACGTGTTATCAATAAAAGAAGGACATGACAGCGTGAGTGATAGCCTGAAGATGTTTGAAGATGAGTTTGTTTGTCTTTGTGTCTAAAATGCTCCTCAGGCCAGTACTATGGTAGGCTACCAGGACTTTTCTTTTCGTCTTTTTTCCTTAGGATTTCAACAAAAACATTAGTCACTTAAATTTGCTTCAATTATGCCTTCAACACAAACCAAAAGTCATGTGTTCAATAAGTCATAACACTTGTGACTATTTATAAATTAAGATAGTGACGAAAAGTGTCCCAGCACATAACTTCACTCATTTACAACTTCAGCAAATACAGAAGACTATAACAGGTATAACTAAAACTGTTACAAATCACATACAACACTCAAAACAACTTTCTTAAGCATTTAAAGGTATTTTAGAACCGTGTTGTGTCCAGCGAAAGACACGCGAGCGCGCACGCACGCACTCTCACACACACACACACACACATAACGGTTTTGTGCTGTGAGATAATAGACGCTCACATCTGAACTCTCCCTCTAACTCTTACTCTGCTACAACTTAAACATTTCCACGGCAATGAAAACGGTTTAAACACTTTAAACCAGTGCACTTATACCTTAAGCACACAAGATAATAGTTTACACTCTTGCTGAGTTTTCCGCACTCTTCTGTACAAGCGCTTAAGTTGACAACGCACAATCTCACCCAAATCCAACTGTTTTAAAGACGCGAGAACAAGCCGGAGTTCAGTTTTTCGCCATAAGTCACTTTCTTACCGTTCTTTCTCCTCGGGTTGGCCTGTTTTCTCCTTTTACACCGGGGACCCTCCGCCATGATCTCCTGCTTCATTGATAAGAGTGGGTCAGATGGCAGCAGTCCGCATGGGCTCCGCTCCTTCATCCAAGATCTAGCAACCAACACACACACGGCAACAATTGGACTCTCAGGGCAAGAAGGAGGATGTGTGTCGCTCACAGGAGAGCAAATGATATTTGGGCGGTAGAGTGACTGAAAAGTCCGAATGAAGTTATCCAGGAGGGTTTGTTTAGAGGGACCGTGAGCGTCCTGCGCGTCGTCTGATCTTTTGAAGTGTGTGTGTGTGTGTGTGTGTGTGTGTGATCGGACAGCAGCGCGTGAGTGCGCCAATGAAGGGGGACGGACACACCTACACCTTCAAGTCACCATAAAGCATGTGCTGTGCGTATAGAGATTTTAACAGAATGAGCAGCAATGAAAGTTTTCGGGAACTTGTATTTAGTGGAAATGTTTTATGTAGTTTGATATTTTTCTCCCTCTATCAGCTTTAATTTACAGTTATCTAATCTCGTGGGCTACTTTCTTTGTGAGTCTGATAGATGTAAATATTGGCTTCGTGATTTCTGTTGCCTGACTTACACTGACCACATTTCATTTAGTACATTTACTTTTGCTCGGGATTGTCATTAAAAACTCGTTAGTTTATATTTTGAAATACTAAGAGAAACGGTATTAAGAATTGTTTGCTTATATTTACCTTTTAAAATGTGTATATTTTTTAGAAAATAAAAAAGCACGAAAAGGGTCCAAAACATTAGCTACGTGTGGCATTTGTGTACACTTCTCTAATAACTGCTTATAATATATCTGAAACCTGTAATTGTCAGATTATCATAATGTAAAAAAAGCTGCAGCATTGTGCAGGCGAATAACACGCGGAATCCAAGCATGATAAACAAACAAATAAAAATGCTACATTACCCTTTCATCACAGCAAAAGTAAGTCTTGGAAAATTTGTGGATTCTGATGACAAAAATGCAAAATGTTTTTTTTTTTTTTT